ATATATATAGATGTGTGCTTTAAAAGTCTTTAAAATATAATATAAATAATAAAATATACTGTACTTTTCGCTGTATAAATCGCACCTTTTGCATAAATTAGCATGCCTGCGACTTATACAGCGAAGCAACACATTTTTTTTTTCCCCCATATTTATAACCCAATTTTTGGCTGAGATTTTACAATGTCATTCATTCTGAGATGGAAAATATGGAACACTACCATTATCAGCTGCTAGAGAGCGGTCGAGTAATATGGCAAGCCAAGTGTCCCATTAATAGGTAAAAGTGGCTATTAATGAGACACTTGGCTTGCCATATAGGGCCACCTTCATCTCGCTGCGGAACTCCTGGAGTAAATGTAAAATCAGCTGCATTTCGCCTGGATGTCACGGCGAAATGCAGCTGATTTGACCATTAAAAAACATTTATTAAGGAAAAAGTTCAACTGAGACACACCTTTGCTATAAATTCGAGCAAACAAACAATTGTTTTTAAGTGTTAATCTTCTTAAAATCTTGTTAAAGTCCTCCCGTGCACGCTCCGTCGGCCACCATTTGGCAGCCAATCGATTTTGGCACAACACCGGCCCATGTTTCCGGGTTGTCAGCGGTGACGCATAATAGATGTGACTTATACGGCGAAGAGACATATTTGTTTTTTTCCACTTTATTAGACATATTTGGACTGAAGCGACTTATATGGCAGAAAGTACAGTAAAATGCTGCTACTTTGTGGATATTCATTACTGTGGGGGTCTCTGGAACGTAACCCCTGCGATCAGTGATGGATCACTGTATACAGTGATATTTATCACCTTTATGTCTGTTTTCTGTTTCACTCAGGGCTGCAGATCACTGTTCTGTTGAGTAATACACAACAATCAGATACAGTGGCACAGATTCAAAACTGCAGAAATGTAGCTTTTCTTCTGGTCAAAATAAGGCAAACGAAAGTTGCATTCATCCTATTCTGATGATATCGATTACTCACATACAGGACAAGGTTGTTTTCGAACCAACCTGTCTTTCGCTCTTGGGAAATGCACTATTTGTGTGTACAGAATAAAGGAGTTCATGGTGCATGTTTGTATGTGAGTGGGTGGGAGACTTTTAAAAACGGTATCACTCGCTGGGCCTCACTGGCCTGCATGACAGATCTCATCAGGCTACCTAGTGTGGGAGCTGTTCACGACTGCAGAAAGAGACAGGATGTACAGGCTGAGGACGCTCCAGCCTTCACAGTCAGACCCAGATGGAAGTGACGGTCTCCTCCTGGACTCATCAGTTCTTCTGTTTCCTATAAGCTGCTGCGATCTGCAGACTTCGTGGAAACAATGAACCTTAGCGGCAACCAAACGGGGCCCTGCAGGTCAAACTCTGTCCTTCAAGTGTTTATTTTAATTTGCTTAGCAACAACACACACACAATACAGGATGCTAGATGATGTTCAAGCCATTGTGATAAACTTAACGTTGCACTGGTAGTTTAACCAAACCCTTCGTAAAACAATACTAAGCTCCCCGTTCACAAACAAGGATTGTCCAGAATCTGTCCTGATGAGTCAAATCTATCATTGCGTGCCATCACAGTGCAGTTCCCACCACCTCCTTAAACCAACACATGAGTAAGGCCTGCAGCTAAGCAGTCCAACAGTAATGAAAGCACTGGTATGGCACACTAAGGAGGAAAAAAAAAAGGTTTTCTGGAAGAACACAATTCTTTCCAAGAACAGTTTTAGCTCAGAAGATTCAGCCACACAAACAAACACACGGAGATGGGCAGAAGACGGTGAACCTCCCACTTTGTTCCCACTCAGGTCACACAGTGGGCAGAAGTCTGTGAGGTGGTGCTCTGGCTCCCACAATGCAGCTGTTCTCCCTTCATGTCATTCTAGAGTGCTGTGTGTGGTTATTCCAGCTTGAGTCTGGTCTAAATGCAGACTCAACACTACCAGTTGAACTCTGGAGGACTGAAGCGTGCTGTAATGTAGTTGCTATTCACCTCGGTAGCCTTGTTTTGTTGTCCTTGAACGACCAGTTCTCATAGCTCTCATGTGCAAAACGTCATAGCCTTCTATGGTACGCAAGCTGTGTACATAGATCATAGCCTGCCTCATTGTGCTCAGTGTGCAGCTCGACTAGAGGGATACAAACAGGAGGAAGATGAGCAAACTAAACTGGAACCTGTGAGTTGTTGGGGATGACGCTTTCTATATACAGTGCCTTGCGAAAGTATTCGGCCCCCTTGAACTTTTCAACCTTTTGCCACATTTCAGGCTTCAAACATAAAGATATAAAATTTTAATTTTTTGTGAAGAATCATCAACAAGTGGGACACAATCATGAAGTGGAATGAAATTTATTGGATGTGTCAAACTTTTTTAACAAATACAAAATTGAAAAGTGGGGCGTGCAATATTATTCGGCCCCCTTGCGTTAATACTTTGTAGTAGGGGTTGAACAAGTATATAATTTTTAAACTCGACATTAACATAATAAAACCTGAGTAGAACTCGAGTATTTGATGAGGTCATAGATCTCAAGATACAAAAATAAATAAATTAATAAAACCGCAAAAAAAGGTAATTATTTACAAAAAAAAAAAAGACCAACAAAACATTGGGAGCGTATATTATGCTCCTAAAATTTATCATACTACAAATAATTCACAGGAAAAACAAAACCATTAGTTATTATTATTAAACTGCAAACGTGAAGAAACGTGTAGCACGTCAAAAACGAAACTTAAACTGAAACTGGTTCTGGTTCGGTGGATTGGACCCGGTGTTACACCATACTCTGTGACCTGCAACAGTGCAACACCGCCCCCTACGGTCATACGGTGGTCACATAATATGACGTCACTACGGATACTTGACGTAACATTTTTAACCTCGATAGATGTCCTAGCAATCGATGTGTAGATTACTCGAGTACTCTGTTAATGCCCTAAAAAGCTCCGCCTTTTGCTGCAGTTCCAGCTGCAAGTCTCTTGGGGTTTGTCTCTATCAGTTTTGAACATGGAGAGACTGAAATTCTTGCCCATTCTTCTTTGCAAAACAGCTCGAGCTCAGTGAGGTTTGATGGAGAGCGTTTGTGAACAGCAGTCTTCAGCTCTTTCCACAGATTCTCGATTGGATTCAGGTCTGGACTTTGACTTGGCCATTCCAACACCTGGATACGTTTATTTGTGAACCATTCCATTGTAGATGTGTCTTTATGTTTTGGATCATTGTCTTGTTGGAAGATAAATCTCCGTCCCAGTCTCAGGTCTCTTGCAGACTCAAACAGGTTTTCTTCCAGAATGTTCCTGTATTTGGCCCCATCCATCTTCCCATCAATTCTGACCATCTTCCCTGTCCCTGCTGACGAAAAGCAGGCCCAAACCATGATGCTGCCACCACCATGTTTGACAGTGGGGATGGTGTGTTCAGGGTGATGAGCTGTGTTGCTTTTACGCCAAACATATCGTTTTACATTGTGGCCAAACAGTTTGATTTTGGTTTCATGTGACCAGAGCAGGGCAGCACGGTGGCGCAACTGGTAGAGCTGCTGCCTCTCAGCGAGCAGGTCCCTGGTTCAAACCCCGGTCCAGGGGCCTTTCTGGGTGGAGTTTGCATGTTCTCTCCGTGCATGCGTGGGTTTTCTCCG